CATAACTAATTGAACAGAAAGTGTGTAACGAATTCTTAAGCGAAGCGTGCCACAATGTTTTGAACATAATCTTCGATATTCGAGCCGAATTGAACATTGCGCATCCTTTTATTATCACATTTCTCTCCGTTCTCGGTTCGTTGTAGCCACGTGGACAAACGCGTGGATCATAAAGAATGACGAGGCGCGTCCCATTAATATTAATAAATGCGATACAATCGATGTGTTTGTACGTGTGTGTGTATGGCGATCTACGTAGCCTCCAAGCTAAATGAGAAACGTTTACGATCCACTATATATCCGCGTTATAATACTTGGTTATTGCGCTACAGCAAACGGGGAAACGAAATAAAAGATCCGAATTTTTCATTTCACGGTATTACTCCATTTCCTTCGCCTCTTCGACGAATCTCCAATCTCGATAATATAGTTATTATAAGTGGTGTGCATCGATCATGTAATTAAATGCACTTTAAACTTTCCGGTCTAGTCGGGACGTTCATCACGTGTGAATAATAATAATAGTAAGAGGTAGAAACGCGAGGGAGCGGCACTCGATCGTAAATCAATTCCCTAATATCGTCCATCTCGAATGAATCAAGGATCTCTAGTAGTATTTATTTTCAATTATATTTTTGCAAGATCTCGTTTTATCACGTTAAACAAAAGCGTACATTAGTTTCTATTTTATATTAAATATATTCGGAGAAACTTAAAGCCTTGAGACGTTTAACCCTTCGAGCCTCGGTTTTTATTTTATTCGTTTCGAGTTTCGAGAGCAGAGTCGAGAATGAAAGGGAAGTACGACGAAATACGATGAGGAATAATATCGAATCATCATTATATCAGAAATATGAAATCGAACGTACGTGTACGAGAAAATGGCAATTTTCGTTTCGTTTCGTTTTTTTTTTTTTTTTTTTTTCTTTCGAAGAAAAGAATCGATCCGTGTATTGCATTAACATCGAGAGAATAATCGTTCAAAGTAATTCCGAGAACCGTCGAAGACTGGAAGGGTTAACTTTACAATTAATATCGCACCCTACTGCTACGTTAAGTTTGACAATTTAATTGCAAAAAGACGATACAGCGAATACTTCTATTTAACTAAGAAACATCGGCTACAATAACATTACCACAGAACGCGGCTGCCTTGCAAATTACATTCACAAGAATCCTCCGAGACGCTACAAATCATTTTTCGCTACTAGATTATCAAATCTCCACTGACCCTTTCGCAACGAGGAGCAATCACCTTGGAAACCACCGAGTAATTTCTATCGTGCTTCGTTAAGAAGTCGATTTGAAAATTGAATTTGAACATTTTATTGGCCCTACATTTCCAATCTTCTTCGTGAAGAACGTCTTACGCGTTTTAACAAACTCGAATGAACTCGTTCAAAACAATAGAATTTATACTTATACTATACACGTTGTGTTTCACGTGTCTCGTTAAATCCACATTGCAATCACAGATAATCGTAAATCTCAAATTTACGACGATGCTAAATTTTTTCGTTGGAGCGGAAATACTCTTGCGTGGCGAAAGGGTGGAACCGCAACCGAAAGGATACCAATCTGTGCCCCGAAAAAAACAAGCACCGCGGATCTCACTCAACGATCATCGACTTCCCGATGATCGTCGTTCCGACTAGATCGGCGTATCTCTAGATTCGTTCGCTTCGCCGTCGTTGAGTAGACACGCGCTGCAGCCACATTGTGAATCGTCGCTGGGCTTCCTTTTGAATTACACGCCTCTGAGCGAGCGATAACGCTCCCCCTCCCCTTCGTTCTCTTTATAAGCGCTAGGCGATAAAGATTAAAAACGAATATCTAGCAAATTTATCCCCTCCGTTATTACGTCAAACGTCTAAGAATCTAATCTAACGTCGAGGAGGCTGCAGCCGAGTGTCTTCTGCGCGAGGCCGAATGAAAGAAAAATATACGCTTCGAGATGTCCAATGGTACGAATCCATCCAGCAACGTCGATTTTTATTCTTATCATTTCGTTACCGATTTCTGCGAGATCGAGATTTCTGATCAAGCGAGAATAGGGATAGATAGCATTCGTTCGACGAGCGTGTTCACTCGAAAGTAATGATAAGAATGAAGTCTTTGGTTTCGATACAGGTTCTTTTGGATTCGTATCAGAACACTTCCCGATTTTCGCACGATGCGATTCACACGACGGTGCGAGTCAACGCTACACGATAAGGGGCTGCGCTAGAGAGACAGTTTTTTTTTTTTAACGTTCAGAAGAAACGGTGCTAGAGTGCACGTAGAGGCTCGCGTTAAGCACGGCGGATTAATGAATTACAACATATCGCTCAACATTCTCTTCCATCGTCTCGTTTTTCATCGTTTCCTCGAGATAGAAGCCTTATCACATCAATGTGTAACGACGACGCCAGGGAAAGCCACGCTCGCCCCCACACCTCGTGGCAAGCCGAGCTTTCTCGATCCTTTCCCCTGCGGATCAGTCTACCATCTTTTTCTTCTTTTCTTTTCTTCTCTGTCTCTTCCTTTTCTAAATTCTAATTAGCGGATGTGTAAAATTGGCCCACTCCCCTCATGGCACGCTCAATTATCGCTGACGGGACACGAATTCATCCCCACGAATTTTCAAGAACTAAACCTTCCTATCAGAGGAGCTGCCGCTACATTTTTTCTCTTTTAAAGCGTTCCATGTCCTCTATGTCCGGCACGATACGCTTTTATTCCTAACTTTCTTTCGGTATATTTCTTCGATTAAACGGCGGCGAGCTTAGAAGCGTTCAGTCTCCTCGATGAAACACACGAGCAATACGTTTCGTTGCTCGCTGCGACGCGCGAGACAGATTCACGAATTGATGCGCGCACATTTCTTTTTCTTATACCGATTCCTTCATATTCGTGCGTATATGTTTTTGCGTGTATGTTTCGTTAGAAAGAAGACGCAACTTCCATTCATCTTTTCCAATAATATCCTCTTCCCTTCTTTCATTTGGAATTAAATGATACATCTGCTAAAACAAGTTTCGGCTTGGTGCGTAATTTGGTTCGTTGGAAGGATTACATGTGATCAGTGTAGTAATCATAGAGTGTCAATGATTTTGTAGAAAGACAATTTTGTAAATATTAAGCGTCTATGTTTAAACAACCACGACGACGATTTCCATGGTTGAAGAAATAATCGTATAAAATGGCGAGTGAACGATTGAGCACTTTTCATCGCTTTTTTTCCTAAATTAAATTACTCTCATCAGTAGATGCGTCTTCTTCCTCGATTTATGAACGGATCGCGCATCGAGTCGCTTGCTTATTTATCAAGAGATATTGAAAAACGTCTATAAAGATTGTTATTACGATTACAATATTATAAATCTTGAACAGTACGCCATCGAACAGACTCGCCAATAACATATTCTACGTGTAATCAATAATTTTTTCGTAACAGATATATCCCCAGGAATAGACCGCTCGATCGTTCGATTTCCTCGACTAACTGGTGGGCTATTAAAACGTTTTACTTTCAGTCGTTTTCGTTAAGGTCTAGAATATCTTTTGTGTCTAGAACACTCTTGTTCTAAGCTTGTCGGTATCTTGTGCGTGTTGAATAGATTTTCACCTCGAAAAACAGCGATCACAGGAAACGATGATAGGATAAGCAAAGAAACGTTATTCGTAAAAAATTGGTAACGTTTCAACTTCCGTTCGAAAGTCGCGAAAAGTTGAGATTCGAAAAAATATTGTGGCAAAGTAAAAAAAAAAAAAGAAAAAAAAAAACAAAAATCAATATATATATATATATATATACTTTGACTTCTTGAACTTGTTTCTCAATATCAAGATTCGTGATATGTACAATTTCACAAAAAAGCTGTTTTGCATATTGCTTAATACGACGCGTTCAAAGATATTTTAACGAGCGTGGAACAGCTACCCTATCATCGTGACGTAGCCATTACATCGATGTAATTCGGTCGATGGTATATTTCTTGTTTTTTTCCTATTTTTTTTTTTTTTTTTTTTTTTTTGAACGACAATTCCCGATTCATACTGTAAAATGCGAAAAGATCGCTAGATTCTGGTCGAATAAATGGCGGATACAACAACGTAACAACGCGCACTATAACCGCACAAAGCTGTTCTTAACATGAATCATAGCAAAACGATCGGTTAATCACGCTACGGTTAAACGACTTAAATGAGATTGATTGGGGCGATAGAAGTAGTCGATAGTAAGAACGGTGTCAATGAAACGTTTTTGTGCCTTCGTCGCGCGTTAACTTATGGGCCACGATGTAGACATCAGAAGAAGCCAGCATCTTGTTAATAGTACGTGATGATTTTTTGGTTCATATCAGAATGTCTCAAGGAGTTAGCATTATTTAGCTGCACACTGATAAACCACCTCCCTAGCAAATGCAGCCACTCTCCCCCTCGGACTCGGAGCCGTTCTGCATCGGTGATTGATTCTGCAAATCGACAGCTGCTTTCGTGTGTTAAGGTGTTATCACAGTAACCATTCAATTGCCGATAACATTCAATTATTAATTTCATTTAAAAAAGAACCAGCATGTCGATGTTAATTATATAATAATAATCTTACAAATAGATACGTGTAAATTTTAAGAAAATGTTACGTATATGTTAAAAAAATGATATTGATGGATTCGAATGATTGATTGTTTTTAGGCAGCATAGTGAATCATTATATAATATCGGATAATTTTTACAAAGAATTTTTGAAATGTATATATGATCTATGACTCTTAATATTAATTGAGAATTTAGTCCCACTTAAAGTTTGAGTCATTGGTAATGTATTTTTCTTTTTGAAAGCGAGAATAAGTTATAATCTCAAAAAGCATATATATAAAATTTAAGTATTTTAAAAACGGGACGGAGCATTCCCTAATATTAATAACAGTGAAATTTTACAGCCGCGAAGCACCTTGATTAAAAATTATACGAGTGCCATCCATTATTATATTTTCACGATATGATATAAAATATAAATTGTATATAAATTCTAATTAGAGATATTAAACAACTAAAAATACGTTTACAATGGTTAAGAAACAAGGAAACATGTATAAAAAGGAAAAATGTATGATAAAGAAAAAATTATGGTTCATAAAAAAAAAAAAAATAATATAAAAAAAAATAATAATGCTATTGAATGTTTTTTATATAAATTAAAATATTACAATATAAGTATTAACAAAAATGTCATAATAATTAGGTATAATAGCATTCTGTCTATCCATATCCCAAATTTTAAGTTAAATTTTAAATTCATATATACAAATCCAATTTTGTCAATAATTGTCGGAAATTTGCTCTATTTAAATTTTTTTCTTTTTTTTTTCTTTTTCTTTTTCTTTTTGTATATATATATATATATAATGAATTATTCAATTTATAAATAATACTTCAATAAAAAATGCAACTTACTAATTTATGCAATGATCATTCCAAGTTAAGAAAACTATTATACATGAGCAATGTATTCGTAAAATATTTTTAAAAAGTTTTTAAAAGATAAAATGTTAATTACTAATTTTGCATCGCTGAAATCTTTTCCCGTTCATCTACAGTACGCTCGCAGGTACATATTGTACGAGTTCTTTTATGCTAAATCGATCCATGCCACCACAAATGCATCCATAAGTGTATAAGTGACTTATTGCTCGCGTTTGCAATCAGATCATTCTGATAACGAATTGTTGACTATTATTTTGACTGCATTTACGCAATACGTAACTCCATTTGTCTATACACTATTAGTTTATCGCATATTGCAACTTATATATACATGACGATAAATATATATATATATATGTATATATATAAGTGCACCATATATCATGCAATTGCAGCACTGATCATGCATACGACTAGTATTTCATTCAAATTTTTTTCCTTTTTTGTCAAAATGCAAAACATAAAAAAATTTTATTACTTAAAATTATAATTATTTGTTGCAAATAAAATGATTTTTAGAAAAATTGTTTCTCATTTAAGAAAAATGATCGAAGCACTATCTATAATAATGATTATTATTATTATCAACACGTTAAAAAAGCAAGCGTCTCTGATGAAATACAAAAGTTTAAATTAATTAAATTAATTGATTTATGATTTGATGATTTACTAGTACAAACACGTTATTGTGTAAAAGCAGTCTGCTTAAGCTATCGTGAGATATTTATTTTTTCACGAAAAACTCGTTATAGCTCTTCGATACAGTGCTGTTCCTTTCCACATTATAAATTGTAAAAAGGACACGGACTGATCCATCACTGTCCTAGCATTGAAAGAGATTAATTTATAAATTAACTTAGATCAGTGTCTTGTCTACCATTAGGCTGATCGGTGGTTTAACATGCACAACTGCTCTCCGATGATTTCAGTTCAATTGGTGTGTCCTTCAGAACTACTTCTTGCACTACAGGTTTAGCAACACATTAAGGAAAACACAAAAAGATAACGGAAAAAAAATGAAATAGTTAACAATATTAAAAAATGATATTAAAAGTAATGATTCAAAATGATTCTTAGAAAATTAATATTTATGAAAAATTTTGAAGCTGTATGAAACATTTAACTTGTGAAAATTCAATAAAATATTGCTGCAAAAAAATATTTGAAATTTAAATAACCAAAAAATTTTTTATATAAGATTATAGTAAGATTAAAGTTAAGCATCTTTAAAATAAATAATATTCAAATTGTAAAAAAAATAAAAAAAATGAAAAAATTGAGGATGAAGGACATGTTTTTTGGTGCTATATTTGAAGAAAGAAAAATCCCTGAAATATAATTATGTATATGTACCATGCAAATGTGCATATTATGTATCTTACACAAAGGATACTGTCTTCAGGTGGTTTATTTTCAGTGGAATCCATGCCTGGTAAAGCTGCTGCTACTCTTCTAAAAAGCTGATCAATAAATAAAATATGATTACGACATTATGATTTTATTTAATATAAAAAAATAAAAATCTATAACAGAATAAAAACTTACTTGTTTCACATTATATCCAGCTTTAGCACTAGTTTCAATAAACATTACATTTAATTCTTTAGCTTTTCGTTCACCTTCTTCCATTGATACTTGTCTTTTATCACCCAAATCTGTTTTATTACCCACTAACATAATAATTACATCACTTCCTCTTTCAGTCCGTACATCATCAATCCATTTTGATGTTTGATGAAATGAATTCGCATCTGTGTAAATAATTCACTTGAGCTGATGCAATAACATATCATAATTAACACTTTGTTTTCATTTTTAATTAAACTTACTAGTAATATCATATACTACAACTGCAACAGTAGAATCTCTGATATAACTAGGTATCAAAGATCTAAACCGTTCTTGGCCTGCAGTATCCCATAATTGTAATCTTACAGTTCTATCCTCCAGATACATAGTTTTGCTTAAAAAATCTATACCTATTGTAGCCTGTAATAAATAATATATTGTCTTTCTAGTACTTTCTATAGAAAACATTTTTATTTTATCATTCTTATCACATCATTTTTAAAAAGAAACAATAGAATTTTTTAATAAATTCACAAAATAATATTTGATGATAATCTTGATGAACCTATATTGTATTTTTTATATTGTATTTTAACTTTATTAGAAAAAGTCAATATCTTGAAGTCCCTACTATCTGTCCTACTAACATTTATCCTTGACAATTGATGTTAAATATTTTGTAGAATAAGTATATATTTGCCAAGTCAAAATCATGATTAAAATGAATGAAATGAGTAAAATGAAAGCAAAGATTGTGACATTATTATAAAGTCATTGAAAAGTATGTCAATAAAATATAAATGATCTCAAAAATTTAAAGTGTATATTATATGATGAAAGAAAAAGCTGAGAACTTATTATATTTAATATTTATATTTTGTATTAATCTATATTATTAGATAAATTAATTTAATCTTTATAACATATTATTTCCTTTTATATATTCAATCAAAATTATATGTAAATGTACATATACATAAATATATGTATATCACAAAACCATTAGTTTCATACCTGATACGTGTTGTCAAAGCTGTCATACATAAACCGTGTGATAAGAGAAGTTTTTCCAACTGCAACATCAAATCACACGATTAATGCAAAAAATTTACTACCTATTGTTTACAAAAAAACAGAATACCAAACAAAGAATATTTTTTCAGAATGTAAAGATATAATAATGAATTATTGATATAATTTCAAATCATATTATAGATATTCATAGAAATGTAAATTTATAATGAAATTATTATTTTCTCTCACATAAAATAAGAATTACTTGTATATTTCCACTATGATTAGATTTTATGATCGCGGTATACCGATATATTTTGCAATTGTTTAAAATGAAACAAGTATACTACGTAACGATACGATTACGTGTATAAATCATGAATTTTTATGGTTAGTAGATATTTCTATAAAAATGATAGGATTTTACAACAAAACATATATAAAATTATTGATATTATTAGGACAGAATATAATATTAGGATAGTGATAATAAGAATGACGCCAAATTCGATCGCAACGATAAAGTTGCACAGTGACTAGAAATATTGATCTATAACCTAGAACGGTCATTGGAATCAATGTATATGATAGAAATTTTCATATTTGATATGCGAGAAATCAGTGACAAGACAAAAGCGACACGAACATCGCCAATATTGATCCAAAATCAACGGAAGTATAAGTGGAAAATACTTACCGCTCTGTTCACCGAGAAAGACAAGCTTAAATTTACGCAACGGGTTTCCAAAATCACCCGAAGACGACATTTTTTATATTATAGAACTATTACGCAATGAATTAAAAGTGCTAAACACACAAGAATAACTTAATTGATGCAACGAGTCATTAATTGTCACGAGAAATCATTTAACTTGACAGATCGAAAAGCCACTCCTTCCTTCACTTGCAAGGCAGCCACGTTTAACTGGGAAGTGACGTCATTGGTTAGTTACTAGTTTTGTTAGGTTCTAATCATATTCCTGTAGATGGCGTTGAAAAATTTAAAATACATGAAATGGAACATCTTTTATTATAAAAAATATTTATAAGTTGTTAATATAATTAAGAAAAAATGTGATTGTCAAAAAATATATTATTATTAAATCATATTGCTCAAAAAATAATGACTTCAAAAATGCACAGTTAGATTCAAAATGCATAAAAATAAATTATAAAATGTTTTATTAATAACTGCATTAGATAAAATTTGTACAATCTCAATATAATGGATTTCAAGATAATTAAATATTGTTCTCGAACAGCCTGTAGATTTGTTCCAGAAATGTATCCAGAAATTATAGGATCTTTCATAATACATCTAGAAAAATATTTTATAATATTGCAATATTCAATAATTTTAAATGTTATGTACATATTATATACGCTCGTACACACATTCAATATATACAATATAGATATAAATGATATTTTGATATTTTATTGTTGATGAAGTCTATTATTATTTAAGTTTCTGTAAGGATCTTCAACCACAATAGAATTACAAAGTAAATCATAAACAGTTCTATTAAATCTGAAGAAAAATAAGGCAAAACATATAGGGAATAAAAATGCTAAAATCATATTTTTCACAACTGATCTTCCAATTGCTAACGGTAAGCCTAAATCTGTTCCTGGAGAAACAAGTACAACATCAGGATCATCAGGTCTATCAACAGGTGTAACGCTACGACATTGAACAACTCTTAATCCCATCATGGATTTTCCAGGTGTTGCACCACCAATACGACCATTTACACCATGTTGAAGCCAAAATGCCTGAAAAAAATATTTTTGTTGAAATCATCATTTAATATTTCTATTAATAACATACTCACTTCAAAAATGCACACTATTACACGATGAATTATTTCTAATACTAATATACCATATGTCATTTCTAAAGCCATTTTATAATCAATTCTCAAATTTGCCCGTACCAAGTCTAGATCATCTATATCTCTACAATAAAATATAATGATAACAAGTCAAGAAAAAATAAAATTATAGACGGAAGAATTATCTTACATACATGAAATCAAAAACATCAATAGCAAAGAAAGTAATGGAAAACTTCAAAAGAAACAACATTGTTGAATCTATAAACTCTGCTGCAAATCTCTTCCATATTGGAGGTATACGATATTCAAAGCCTGAAAAGATTGTTTTCTTAAACTTAAATAAATAAGATAATCATGGTATTAAATGATACAGATGAAAATGTATGTTTCAAAAATACTGCATCATAAAATCACTATAAAGATAAATAAATCAATTAAACATTATAAAAATAATTAAACAAAATGCAGTACTTTTGTAATAAAAGCACATATAGTACTAGCTGAACCTCTGTTGGAATGTGATGGACACAGGAGATATCGTTATGACCTTCTACCTTCAGCTCCAGGTTGGAATGGAGGTCCTACATGATCTTGAGGTCTTCTTTGTCGGAATGGATCGTTCTCTTGACCATTTGTGCCAACAATTAACCTATGTGTATTTGCTACATTTGATACTTGTGACGAGAATGATGGTACACCTATAATTATTCTATTTTATAGAATAATTTTGTTACATTGATAGTATAATAATTTGTAAATTAGATTTTAATTAAATAAAAACAATATAATTATAATCTTACCAGATGATGGATTTATTATTTGTCCAGACATTAAATAATATGGAAACATTGCAGCCATACTCTGCCAAGCATAGGCTTCATGTAACCATTTTTCTAATTTCTTAAAATATTCTAAACGTTCTTCTGCAGCTATCATTTGTAGTTGGTCTTTATTTTCTTTGCATTTATCCTCTTTTGTATCTTCATTTTTATCATCTGCCATATTTTTGTTTCGTAAGAATTGATCGGATATATGTATTTACAATATATATATATACATATATATATATTGTAAATTTTATCGAAACAATATAATTCTGTTTTAAAATTGTACAGTATTCAAGTCGATTTGTTTAAAACAATAAAGAGTAATCTTTCGTTGCTATCAGAAAAAGTAACTTATATTCACGTAAAACGACTATTTTAACTTTTAATAGAAAAAAAGCAAGCTAAAATAGTACTAGAAAGTCACACCACAATATTAATAACAAATAAATGAAGTAATCGTGTACTGCCTGTTTTACATCCACGTAATCCTTGCCTTCATATATTAGACAGGAATACTTCAATGTAAAATTTTGTCTAAGACAACGTACGCAATACGTAATAAATATTTATTGATTTTTAAATTTCGAATTATAATAATATAAATGTACTTATTATATTTTTACAATATTATATTCTTTTTGATGAATTTTTTTCTTAAATTTAACGATCAAGAAATTATTAAAAACTTATTATTGGCCAATATTTATCTCATCCAATTAAATTCATCAATGTATTATAATCAAATAAAAATGTAAAATACATTAATAAAATATTTTATTTAAGAATAAAACATTATTATATAATAATAAATATTGTTACAAAATTGTTACATATAAAAATAATTTTCAAGATACAAATAATTCAATATTAATGAATTCATAAATTTGTATAATAAAATTTTAATAAACATAAATTTTATTTGAAAAGAAAGTAAAAAGTATAAGTTTAATATAATAAATTATAATAGATAGAATATTGACGTCGTATTATCGAAGAGCTGAAAGATAAAATATAAAATACCAAATATGAATAAAAAATTACTATTTAGTGACATGACTGAGAAATAAAAAACCCTAGTACGTTTTGTAAACCAGGTGGCAGCGTGCAGCAGTTCGCATTGCGGCGCTAGCTTCTCAGGACATGACGTATTCGAAGCATTCGTGCAGTAATCACGGTCAGAGGACGTTTCTGACGACTAGTCTCTTTCTACATTTCACATTTTCGAAATAAATAAAAGCAAAGCGAGTAGGTGTCGTAAAGCAGTGTGTCGTGCTGAAAAGCTGTGTGCGTTTGTACGCGTTACGAGTGACATTTGGTCTAGTCTTGAAGAGGGTGTGGGCCACGACGCCAGAAGAAACATTTAGGTAAGATTACATTAAATTTTATCATATAATAACCTTTTTCTTAGTTATATCATTGAACATTTAACCAGAAAATAATACGTATAAAAAATAATTATCAATATTGTGACAAATACAGTGTTTTTATGCAGAAAAATCGGACTGCGGCGATTCCTTAGTCACGCGTCAATTCGATGGAATGTCGCGGTAGAATTCCGAGAATACAAGCGATGGTTGCGTTAAAAAATCGAATCTCCCTCTTTCGCCGATGCTGTAAACAATTGTTTAAACGTAACACAATGATCATGAATATACGAATTTCATCATCAATCGCATTTTATATATCAGCGACAAATATCGACGAGTTAAGTCAATGCATGTGGATTGGAAGTTCGAATTAGTTACAGTTTCAAACAGAGGTTAAGTTAAACTTGAAAATAATCTATCAAGTATATTTTCTCAAGTATATTAACATTAGATACACTGCGTTCTAAAACGGAGCACGGATTACGAAGTAAGGAAATAATAAAACGCTTAAGTTCGTGTGAAATTATACGATTATCAAAATTGTGATTCGTAATCCACGTGCCGTTAAAGTTCTGTATATTTCAGCAAGAAATATATAAAAAAAAAAAACCGTTGGTAAACGGGGTCGACAAATATCGAACCCAGACAATCGTGTGATATTGCGTTAACGTTTTAAGTATCGGTGGATCACTTAAATCTCCTTTCGTGGGTTAGTACGCAATTTTTCATCAACCCGTTTTTAATACATACTCTATGACTATCTCGTGAGAAACCTTCCAGTAACTATTATGGGAACGCGTAAGTGACGGAGTATCCCGCGCCCCAAAAAAGGAAAAGAGGAAAAAAAGGAGAAAGGAACGGACGAAGGAAAGAAAGATACAGAGCGACATGGAAAAACGTTTGTCGGTTTGGTAGAATGCGTGCGAATAAAAGGTAATGCTTTCCCCCAAATCGCGCATGAGGTGAATGGCCGCAGGTCATACACAGTCCCATTCACGCGTCGTAAGCACCTTTACGTTTTCGGAACCGGTTGCACCGAATTTATGGGAAAATGGCCAAGCACCGTGGGAGTGTGTATATCTTGCGTGGCTTTTCTCAGCCCAGTATCGCTCGTTCCCTTAATTCGAACCGGTCGAACGCGGACAACGTCGCGGCATGTCGCGTCGCATACTAATTTCGCGGCGGACCGGTCAAATTAAATGTGCCTCTACACGCAAAACGTTTCCGGTTCCGCCGACGTTTCGATAGCTTTGTGAGCATCATTAAAAACTGTCCTCGAAAGAAGTACACCTTTTTTTATATTTTAAAAACCCTTTATTTTAATTCAAATTCTTTTCGTCTTTCGTATAGTTTTAAATTACCGATCATAATTGATGATTTTTCGTCGTTCGATAACTACGTTTCTCGATAATCATTGTTTCCGTTAATTGAGTTCTCTATCACAAGGGAAGTCCACGATAACGCAAATTGCTCTACTCAATGGCGCAATGATGCGAGATTACAACTCTCCTAATACACTGTATGCGGGAACACAAATAACGACAAATAACTACGATAACTCGATTGGAAATTTTGTGATTGAAAATAAAATTTGAAAAATGCGTTCAAAATCAAACATATGAAAAACAATAAAGGATATACTACAGAATATTCTTATTCTGACTTCAAAATTATACGTGTAGAGATATCTACTTTATCATCGATTGTTTCGCATCATTTTACTTCTTATCTGCGTCATAAAGCTTATTCAACCGAAGTTTCGAGATAAAATATTCCATTCTTTTTTATTTTCGTGCTCATTTCGCATTAATATCTTTGCTATCTAAGAATTTCAAGTTTAATCGCACGAGTTTAATTCCCCGAAACGTTATGACAATATACCACGTCGCTAGATGAAATTGCAGTTATTTCTGATCATCGATTATTAATAATCGGCGAATATTGATAATTTCCGCGTTCTGTCCGCACAATCGAATCGCAAATTAATATTTACACGATTCTGTACAGTTCAAACAGACATTCCGCCAATCCGATATATTAAACTGCGCGTTTGTAATTATAATTTATTCGTATCGAAATCGACAAATTGCGGAAATGTCCTCAAGGGAGGGCATAGGGGATTCCCGCGAAGCATTGCGCGCCAATTTCAATGGAATTTCGCGAAGCAATTTTTTAGAAGCGAAAGATATTTATATTTCTTATTTGTTTCAATAAGATTGTTTAAATAAATAATCTTTTGGTATCGATATAAAACATAAAAATTAATCCTAAAGATCTAACGTTATATTCAGTTATATTGGTGAAAAGATACGAAAAGATCATATTAGAGGGTAATAACTTGAAACGGTGCAATAAAGATATCTCAAAGTATTTCACATTTTCAAAATATCTTGATGCTCTACTAACGAGGTCGAGAGTGTACGCTCAGCTGGTTATACTTATAATGCGTTCTACAAATCAGAGGGTAATCTAACGAACGTTCGATTGTTTCCATAACACTCGATAAATTCCACTTCTCGCGGAATTCTGCCGCCCCATTCCACGATTGCAACCGCATCTCGCTTTCTACTCGCCTCGTTCCGTTCGACAAAAGGAACCAACATCACAGACGGTCTTTTCTCCCGTCCAAATTCCATGGATTCCATTCTCGATTTTCAATCCTGGCATTCCCGCCGATTTCGACACCGGTCTCGATTCGCCAAACTATCGTGAATCGGTGATCGATACGAGACTGCTATAGGCTCGAATCCGTGGACTTGAAACGGGCCAGAGAGTGAAAAACGCGCACGATTTACAATGGGCAGTGATACGATTCGAATCGAAATGTTCTCTCTCTCTCTCTCTCGCGGAGAGACGAAGTGATGAATAAGAGAGATCCTTTTTGTCACTGCAACGAATTTTAACGACCAGTTTGGATTAGATTTCGTTTCCTGGAAATTGGCTATTCGAGAATGGAATTGTACGATCGATGGCTAGTTAATTAGCGGAAACGTAGTTCTGATTCTAAAAGGTAATTTCGTATGGTTCGTGAATACCTTAATTAGATCCTGTCTGAAGGGAAATTCTGAAAAACGAATACAAACCAGTGAGATACCAGTGCTTCTTTGGTATTCGTTTCAAAAGCTCGTTAAATCTTGGCAGGCATCGACTGTGAAGGTCAGAAACGAGTCAGAAAATTATGCTTAGTATTTAAAATAACGGTGGAGAATTATATTATAGGGTTAAAATTTCCAAGTGTAATGTAATGTATTCGGGAATCGAAAGTTCGTTTTCTATTGAAATATCACGAGAAAAAAAAAAAAAATCAGAGAGACGTTTGTTTATTAGATCGTAAATAGAGAGTGAAGCTTTTCTGCCTATTCTGACTAGCGTAATTCCAGTAATGGTATCACTTCGTGATACTGGATTCCATTGAAATTCCACGCGTGTGAATCGTGGCGTAGATGAGCTGCATGCTTTTCATAAATGGCGCCGGATGAAATCTTATTTCGATGCTTGGAGAGACGTCTAATTTTCGCTTGGTTTTCGCGAAAAATTTCACCGATTGCTTTTATGAAAAGATATGAATTATTCATTTCGGTTTATTCATCATCATTCGAGTCTATTTTTAAAAGTGTTTTGCTCGCTTTTTATTTTTTTTTTCTTTTTTTTGTGAATAGATTTTTCAACGATTTATAATCCGCGATAAATCAACTGATGCAAAATATCACAAACTATTGGAATAAAATTAAAATGATTAACATTTGTTTTAATTAAGAATGAAAAATACAGATTCACTTTTTATTCCACGAGTGAGAATATTTTCTCTTGATTACACGACCAATTAAATTACACGTAGGAAAAAAAATTTCTATTTTAATCAAACTTGCAGAGGATGGAATATTTTCTCATATATCGTTCGTACTATACGAGATATGTAATTTCTGAATTTTCCGATATTCTCTAATATTTGTTCGACACGTACGCGTGGACAGTGTTGTGAAATATTTCTAAGTTTTTTCCTAGCACGCGTGATACCGTGATATCATCGTTTTATAGCCTCCGTCTGTTTGTTTTAGAAACGAATAAATCGCTATAACACGATCGATTGAATAAATGCATAAATGAATAAATATCTAATAAATTCAGTTTTACGATATGAAAAATTTCACCATAAATTATATATATATATACATACGTACATCTATATATAATTACAGCGATAATGAAAAATGTCTTAAAATGCGCAGTGATCAAATGAAAATAATAATTCCCCGTAGCCCGATTAACTCGATCAATGAAGCGCATTAAACATTACGTAAACTACATAACGCGATAAGTCACACTTATATAGCTACGTGATCGCGGTTATGTTCGATCGAAATTCTGAAAAGAAAATTTCCGAGTTCAAAGTTCGATGGCATCGTAAATCAATAAGAATCGACGACCCAATTTTTAATCGCAATCGTTTCGAAACTCATCTTTCAAAATGTATCCGCGAACGGGACGGAATTTTCTTAAAAAAAAAAAAAACCGAATCGAATAATTAATAAAACAGCGACTTATTATGTGCGGCCGACATTCCTGAAACGCCGATCTACATGAATCACACGACGTGAACGCGATACGTGTCGGCGAAACTATCTCGAAATCGGCGTGCATCTCGAAGGATGCACGGCTCGTCGATTACGCATACAATGGACTGCCGGTCCTATTGTGCGATCGCGATTTCCTCGGTTCGTCATCGATCGCGTCAAGTCCATCGGAGGAACGAAATCATTAAGAACGAAAGGAATCGTGGTTGTTTAAGTAAAATTATCCGAGATAACGGCTAGGAAAAAATGAGAGGAGAGGCTAAGGTTAAGAAAGTCGAGAAAAAAGACGATTTTTTCCCCTCTCGAGCTGTGAACGATAGGAACGATGCGATTCGAGAACTCGTCTGTCGAGTTAACGTTCCGGCAAAGAGGGGTTAATTACAGGAAGGGACAGACACTCTCTGGGAAAGAGTTCCGCTTTGC